AACCCCCACCATGCTGGGATTCTGTAACAGACAGGTGCAAGGAGTAAGTAAACCCTGAAGGATGGACAGGCGTGACCAGCCCGTGTCTCAGAGGCTGGGTTTTGCCCCAAAACCTGTCTCTACACCTTCACACCAGGCTGCTGGGGCCCAAGAAGCCACCACCACACCCCCCGGCTATGCACCCAGGTAGCAACACTCACATGTTCGCCAGCTCATTCAAAGCATCCTGGTACTTCAGATATTCCGGCTTCCCAAACACCTGGACACAAACAGAAAAGACAGTGGAAAACCCTCAGTCCAAAAAAAAAAAAAAAACATAAAAGGAGGGAAAACCTCAGTGCAGCGGTCAGACCAGAGCGCAGGAACAGCCCCGCCGCGATGCAGCGCCGGCGCTTACCCCAGTGCCGTAGCGGGCACTCTCGTACCCATCCAGCAAGGTGTCGATCAAGGCTTTGCGGATGCCTTTGAAGGAGGCGCTGGAATTTCGCAGCTCCAGCAGGTAGGCACAGAAGTTCTTCCCTATTAAAGACTTTGGGTACCGGCCCTCTGCGTGAAACGGGATTTCTGGAAAATAAAAAGGTGCAACACCACCAGCTGACGCGTGGGTCAGAACGCTCACGTGGGAAGTTTACCCATCTGGAAGTTAGCGGATAATTCAGCTTCCCACCGCATCTGCCGCCTCCGTTTGCTGACTGCTCCCGACACGCGGACCCTCGGGCCGCCCCGCCGGGCGGGATCAGTGACTGTTATTCCCAAATGAGGACCGGGAGCCTTATCAGGAGGCTGCTGGCCAACACGCCGCAGCCCTATTTCCTCCACACATGGTGTCGTTCCACCCTTCCCCTCCCACTCCTGCCCTGAGCTCCCTTACCAGATGTTCTGATCGCATCCAGCGCCTTCATCCTGTACAGGTAGTTATAGCAGCCTGGCAAAGAGAAAACCCCAAACTGAAAGCTCCGCAAAACTTGGCGGCGGGAGGGAGATGGGGAAAGCGGACGGGAGCAGAGCGCAGAGACACCGTCTCGTGTCGGCTCGCCAAACGTGACGGCCAACAAGAGAGGCCAGTGGCAGAGATCAGCCCCAGGGCAGCGACTGCTGCAGTGGGACCGGCGCCGGGCAGCATCTCTGGTTTTTTTTGACACGCGGTGAGAGATGGTACCTTGTGCCTCCAGCTGCAGCAGCCGGCTGTCGTCCTCGGCTAACAGCCGGGGCTCGTACTTGATGTCTTGCACCCTCGAGAGCCGGATATCGATTTCTTCCTTTAAATCCTGCACAGTGGCAGGGAAAAAAACAAACAAAAATAAGACATTTACAGAGCACTTGCTTTCTTCGTGGTGTCACGAGGACGGTAACAGCCAACTCCTGCGGGCCCTCTGAAACAAACCCGCTCCCTCTCCAGCTGCCCATCACCACACCGATGCGGCAGCTG